TCTGTGGTGCTTAAAACAAACTACTTTAACCCGTCTTCCTTGTTATTCAGGTTAAGGAATGATGATCGCTGGTGATAAAATAATGTAACAGTTTTGTGTTTTGTTTTGCTTTTTTGTTTTGTCATTTGAGGACTTCTGCTGGTAAACCAACCCCTTTTCACCTTCTTTTTTTAAACAAAACACTTTAATATAACCCTTAAATAGGACACACAAGTTCCTAATTTAAATAGATCAGAATTTTGCAACTGTTATCTGTTAGTCATTGTAGATTGCTTGCAACACACCACTTATTGCACATGAAATGTTTTATTTTCACAATTTAGCTCTCACCATTTAGGACTTTGCAGATCAGAGCTTAGTCTGTTTAAAAGCTTTAGAAGCTCTTGATGGTTGCTAATGATCACCTGGCCCTTCATACTAATGCTTTTAGACTGAGATTTGTTAAGCAGTGTCAGGTTAATGGCAGTAGAAGTGTTTTCCATGCACATGCATCAAGCTCAGTGCAGGAACACAAGTGTAAAATGTTTTTCAAGGCCGTATCACAAGTAAGTTAATCAGCTCTTGGTGAACACATGACTGCAACCATTTTACTTTATTATATAGGGAGATCAGGCTCTTCTTTTTATCTAAAACATTGTCCCCAAGCAGGTTCGCTTCTGGACTTGGTGGACCTGTCTTCCTTACAGCCACCTCATCTATCCTGTCAGAGCTCTATGACTCAGCCTTTCATAGCAGTAAGGGTAGTTTTCCACGTATCATTGGCTTCCAAGACTTCATAACAACACAGGAACTCACATTATACAATATACTTCTTTTTTATGTGCAGATACACACAAGAGAAAATAGTACAGGTTGTCCAAACAGATGCCCGGAAGCAAAGACATTTATTTTTCTCCACAGTGTAAATCAACTCTCAAATTAGCTCTAAATTTAGTAGAAAGAGTCTGCAAATTGTGATTAAAGGAGGATAAGTGATTGCAAGCCTTTTTAATCTAGCAGCCTGACTAGATCACAGCCTGTGAGCAGACTTTCCATCGTTTGCATGGCCAGCAGCAAAAATATTAAAGTATCATTAAAAGGCAGCTTTAAATTAGCTTGGCTTGATGTCTGTATCTCCCTGGGCTTAGGGAGAGCAATCTGTAGATGCCAACCTCCAACAAAAGCAGGAGACATTTCTAAGAAAATTTATAACTTTATGATAAAATGAGCATTTTCCCAAAATATTAGGATATTTGAACATTAAAGCGCTGTGTATCATTAGCAATATAAGCTGATGTGAGGGTCAGATAACAATTAAGTTACCTTGCAGAAGTATTCTTCTCCATTAGACACTTTTTGTAACCAAAAATCACACATACATCTATGTGTATGTTTTTTTGTTTGTTATTTTATGTAACAGACAGTCATGAAGTAGCGCAGCATATACTTTTGATGTGAAGGAAAGAGCATTTAAAAGCTTTAGGGTTCATTTTTATTCTAAGGTGTTTAACTGCCTTTATTCACTTTAAATAAAATAAAATTTGTAATTACTTTAGGTTTCAAAACACTATAAATTATATAAAGATGCTTATAAAAAGCAGCTATCCAATCTAGTCTATCAGCCATTTTAATATTTAAATATTCTATATTATATATTAATAAATATTATGTTATAAAATATAATATTTTGTGTATATCTTTCTGAATGTTCATTTTTTCCTACTTGAAGATGAATCAATTTCATGTATTTGTCAACTACAAATCTGTCTTCTTCCACCCAGCCTGATCAACCTTAATGTTCCTGCTGAATAAATCATTCCCCCAGCATGATGCTGCCACTGCTTTTTCAGAATGAGCATGGTTTGTACAAGAACATTTTGTACAAGAACATTTTCCACCACATCTTTTTATATAAGTTAAAGAATTTATTTTAAGTTGACGAGGGAATCTTCCAACACATTTACTGTGTCCCTGATATAGCCTTCAGGTAGGTGGAAAGTTTAGATTTAGCTAAAAGAAAAATAAAATGTGGAGAATAAACGTCTTGCCTTAATTCAGATTTTATATATCCATACAAAAAACAACAATCCAGATGAATCCTTTAGTTTTAACTTCATAGTTTGCATGACTATGTGCTAATTTATCACTAAAAACTCCCTCAAAGCACAATGGATTGTTTTACTCATGGCTGTGATTGTTTTACTAGTTATCTGATTTAATTAAATAGATTCATTATGAGACTGAACTGAGTCTTTTGTTTGCTCTAACCATGAGGATTACGATCATTCCACTCTGTTCTAAGAAGGATATCTAAATTAGAATAGAAACAGCTCTGTTGTTATATTTATAGTGCAACTCATTGCCATGAACATTCTAACCAAGTTTTAATGAAACTTGACCACAAAAATATCATCTTTTTCATTTCTGCAGCAAAAGCTGGATTAACCATGACAACAGAGCAAATTAAAATACTGTAATTAAAGTAGCATAACAGGACCATGAAGCTTATTATTAATATCCAGATTGTTTGAGTCGATTAACATTAGCAGTTCTATTCATGCGGATGATTGAAAAAAAAATAAAAAAATACAAAAAAACACAACTACTTATTTAAGATAGAGGCTGAAAAGGGAAAATCATTAAGTTTTTTTTTCCCGATGCGCCCACCACATATCTGTGTTGCTTTTCTTAAGAAAAACTATTAAAATTATACAATTAAATCAAGTTGTATGCTGAAAAAAATGATTCAGTATGGTTAATATTATCATCATTATTCTTACAGTGCCTTACAAAATGTATTTATCTTCTTAGAGCATTTTTTTGTTAAATGATCAAACTTCAACCTTTTTAATCAAATATCATTTGTGATATACCTTCTGTGAAATACAAATTGAAATAAAGATAATTTATTACAGTATTTTTACAATTTATTATAGAGAATAAATCTGAATGGTTGAATTTACATGTTTTTTTTAGCACATAAGAGGCCAACATTGAAGGAACATTTTTGCTGAAACTTAAATATTTGGGGCTTGCTCTATACTCTATCAACTAATCTTGGCCCTTTTAACCAGTCACACCCTATTCTGTCTCACTTGAAAGCAGTATGGAAGAAAATGTCAAAATTTTTTAGATTTGACCCCCACCTCAACCGGTCTGCTGGTATTTGGCATAACCCCAAACTCTGCATAGCAAAGTCACCATTTTTTTGGAAGACCTGGTATCAGAAAGGTATAAAAGTGTTGGGTGATTTATACGACAACAGTGTATTGAAATCTTTTGAAAAAACTCGCACAAGACTTTAATCTACCCCGGCAGGATTTTTGGAAATATTTGCAATTACGACATTTGATGGTAAATACATTTGACTCACCCACAAAGCCCCCCTTGTGCTGTGATACTCTGGAGCACATTAAAAATGTTTTTGGACGCGGACACGAGGCCTCAGTCTATTATAAAATGTTATTGTCATCCTCAGATCTCAATATGCTGTCCCTTAAAAGAGCCTGGGAAACTGATTTGAATCTTGTTTTACAGAGGAGGAGTGGAATAAAATTCTTGGGAATATGACAAAGTTGTCACGAGAACTACGTTCTAGATTGGTCCAATTTAAAATCCTGAACCGCATATACTGGACACCTTCTAGATTGCATAAAGTGGGATTAGCAGACTCTGATGCCTGTTGGAAGTGCCAGCATGATAGTGGCACACTTTTGCACATGCTCTGGGGATGTCCTAAAGTTCAGGTGTATTGGTCCTCTGTTCACACTGTTGTGGAGGGGGTAGTTGGTCAGGGCATTCCTTTTACTAGCAAGCTTTATGTACTGGGAGATCCCAGATCCTTCAGTTTTGAATTACTTGCCTTCCTCTCTTGCACAGTGGGTACAGACAGCCATCATGCTGGGGAGAAAACTTTTAGTGAGGGAGTGGAAGGCCCCATCAACACCTACTTTCACCCAGTGGCACACCGCACTTGGACAACTGGCAGCATTTGAAAGATTATCATACAGACTGTTAAATAGAGTAGATGATTATAATAACAAATGGGCCCCCTACTTTTCCTACACCGATCAATGACGTTTCTAGCTCAGATCAACCTTAATCACTAATGTCTGCTGTAACCTTGGATAAGTGCATTGTTGGCATCTTTATTTTTTCTACTTTATTTTATTTTATGGTTTGTTTTGCTTTATATTGTTTGTTCTCAGTGCTCGCATACCCAATTGGTATAATGTGCAACATGGTATACTTTGTATGTTTTATTTTGTTAAAATCTAAATAAAGTTCAAGTCATAAAAAAAAAAAAAAAATATTTGGGGCTTATTGTGTCAGTATACAGAAAATCTTTCCTCATAATTTCAATAAACGTTTGGTCTGGGCTTTTAATGTTGCATTTTCAATTCAATGCAGTTTATTTATATTTATTTATTTTAACATTAATAAGTTTTATCTAAAGCAATCCAGTTTAAATCTCACTAATTTTTAGTGTTCTGTTGTGCTGGTCTCAAGTCTTTTGCAGCCCATATCAGGTTCTCTTCCATAGCTGCCTTTCATTGTCTCTATTAAATCATTCAATAATCAATCAATCAATCAATCAATCAATCAATCAATCAATCAATCAATCAATCAATCAATCAATCAATCAATCAATCAATCAATCAGTGAGTTAACCAATCAACAAATTGTCCAACTTTTGTTATTCCAATTGCCAATGATGGGAAGAACAGATTTTCCTGTGTCGGTATTTAGGATAGATTTTCAAAAACTAATCCTTTCTCAAACTCCGTTCTTGTATTATCTATTCCTTTGGGCTAAATTAAACCTTTAGATCTTTATCAATTAGAATAAACACTCTTTTTTTCCATGTGGTTTACAGCAAGAAGCCACTTTGTGTTGAAAAAAAAAAAAAAAAAAAAAACACACAGCATAGGAGATCCTAAATACTTCTTGTTACCTTCACTTTAAAAACCAGTTGTCCTTAATAAGACACTTGAAAAAAAGGCAATAAATTGCATCTGAAGTAAGCAGTCGATTTCTGTTTATTGGCCTAAGATTGTCAGGACATAATGCAACGTCTCCAGTGCTTAACGATCATACATTTATTTGTGACATGTGCAGCACAGAGTATAAATGTGTTTACAGAAGGAAAAGACAAGAAGTCATATGAAAAAAGGCAAATTTTACAATGAGCTCTCAGGATATTCTTTTGACAATTCTTTTCATGTGGGTTTTTATTTTTTTTTGTAAAGTTAAAAAATATTTCCATTAATGTGAATGGAGAACAAAAAGAAATACGTTCTGTTTTTTATGTAGTGGTAGTTATTCTCTCACCTTGGCACTTTCACATTTTAATTACCAAAGCGATTGTTTTCTCAGCTATAATACAATGCATACAAGATTCTTTTTTATTTTTTTTTTTACATTGAAACATTGGGTACATCTGGGATGTTCAAATATCTGACCCAATAAACAAAATATGTATAATAACATTAAGAAATTTGAACAACAATAAAATAATTTGTTATAATAGCCTGAAACCCCCCTCTGCCTTGATGCACGATAGAGACCAAAAGAGTCGTGTGCGTCCATTGCACAAAGTTTTAAATACACACTGATGATAAACACAGACATAACACACATGTTTGGCTAAACACAAAGATCATCAGTGAAATCATTGAGGCTATGACTGATAAATTAGAAAGTGTGTTTGTGACAGATGCTAAGCTCCTTTGTTATTTGGCTGGTGCAATGCTGCCTCACCATGGCCTGAAGCTTGCACTGCAGCTACTTGAACTTTCACATCCTCCCATTTTTCAAAAAAGAAAGAGACAACTTGCTCTGGTCCTATTGCACAATTTATCTTCCAGCGACGAAGAGAAAAGCATCTCAATTTTAAAAGTTTATGTTTTGATTTCCCCCCTGCCCTTCCTCCACACAGCTGTTGGCAAAAATGTTCAAACAACTGTACAGTGTCACGTCTTAAATAAATATTTTTTTTTTATCAACAAAAATGTTGAGGAGCATGTTCATATTTATAAAACTGAAAAAAAAAAAAGCTCATTAACTTTCAAAGAAACATGCATTTCAGCACCAACATCTGGTGGCAGCTTTGGCTGAAAAGGTAAACAACAGAAAAACAAAAATAAATCATCAATCACCAGCAGGTATTAAATATTTGTATTAAAATGACCTTTCATGTCCCTAACCTGTTTTTCTTCAACAGGGCTCAGAGGCTATACATATATAGACACAATTAATGCAGATATTTCTTTTTAAAAAAAATCCCACAAACATGTTCTGTCATTTTGATAAATAAAAATAGAAAACCACAGATATCTCTTCAGCCGTACTGTGTGCCATCTGAGTCCTGTCATAATTTTCCTAAGTGAAAGAGAACTTGGCAAACAATGGCGACCACTCCTGTGTTGAGCACTGAGGATATGGAGATGTCTAATAATCTGCTTTCGTACAGTACAAACTCTTTCTTGTTCTCTTCCACTTTAGCCATGGCCAACAGACCCTTAGCTGCCCGGCACATCATGTTTACACTGGGTGGGTCCATTGGAGGGGGTCCCATGTGTAGCAAACTGTGAGGGTTCTGCTGGTACTGCGCCATACTGACACCATCCTCCAAGAAGGCTACCAGGTTACCCACACTAGCCTTCTGCAAGGCGATGGCTCGTGCTGCAGTGGGGTCTCCCTGTGCCAGGTGTGAGATAACAGCCACCGCCATCTCTCTGTACACCTGCGCCTTCCTCTGACCAACATATCGGACCAAGACAGCAAAGAGTTTTTCCTGTCTGCTGAAAGGTGGCGTGGCCAGTAAGAGGTCCACGTTGCCATCCTGGATGCTAAGCTTGCAGAGGCATTCCAGCACCAGCCTCTGGGGAGTGAGCTGAGAGTGCGGAGCTCCTGACGGGAACGGGTCCTGGGCTTCAGCTGAGGGACAAACCATCCAGTGAAGAAGGCCATCCAGGATTGGGAGGCAAATGGTGTCCGAATAGGTTGATAGATCAAGGTGTCCTGCAACATTGGCAAGTGTGACCATGGCATTCTCCCTGAGCAGACACAGGCACTCCCACCACCACTCCTGTTTGCCACTAGACAGTCCCTGCTCCTGTTGTACGTCCCTCTGGTAGCTTGGTGCTGACCGGTTCCTCTCTGGGTGAACGTGGTGCAGCAAAAGCAGCCTGCCCAGGAGGAGAACGAGGGCAGGATGGTGAGACATTTCCATGTCGTTCCCAGGGATAAAGGACAGACTCCGGACGATGTTGGAAACACAAAGGCACCTCTTAGAGAGAGAGTCCTGCCAGGAGGAAGTTGTGCAGAGTGGAGCTTCGTCCAGGCACCGAGGTTCATCCTCCAGAAGGGTAATATGGTCATCCTCTCCGTCCAGATGTACCCTGAATGGGTAAGATGGCAATGATCGAGCAGGGTGGGCATATGACAGGGCGTCAACCCTGGCACACAAAACATCGTCAATAGTTGCAGTGATATGTTTCAGTGGTTTCCTGTTTCCCTCTTTTATCTTGTTTTCTGCTTGGCTTTCATCCAATGTTCTTGTACCATCCCTGGCTGAGGGATCAGTTCGCAGTTCAAAGTGTGTCTGAATGTGTGCAGTGGAGTCACCTCCACCCGCCTGCCAGTGTAACAGCCCACTGTCAAACTCAGAGACATACCCCAAGCGCTCCGTTATGTCTTCAATCATGTCATCTTTGTGCACAATCTTGATTGGGAGTTTATCATATTTACTGGCTTGTTTAGGTTTGGATTCTGAAACCGCTGGAAGCCCACCTGGAAATTCTTTTTTAATTTCATGTGCGTCCACTACTTCCAATTCTTTTCCTTCTTGCTCTTTATTCAGGTTCTCTTTATTCTTGGTTGTATTGGGATCCTGCTTCCTATTCCGCACCTCAGCCTTCTCTTCAGTGACAGGTAGTCTTTTCTCATCTGTATCGCCTGTTTGCTTCTCCTGAATTTCTGCTGCTGGAGATGTTTTAGGTCCAGTTAGGATTGCAGAGTCTGCTTCCTTGTCATGGGTAGTGTCTTCATTTTGCATTGAACCAGTATCTAGTTGGCTTTTGGGAATTATTGTGCGAACCTCAAATTCTTCCAAGATTCCGAAAATCTCAATCAGGCAGCGTCGGAAGTGCTCAACGATTAACTCAAGGAATCCTGGCAGCTGGTCAAAGAAAGATAGAAGAAAATCAGCGAAGAAGGCACAATCTTGTGTCTATGACAAATAAAGTATAGTTCTATCATAATAAAAATGCAAACTATGGTATCTAAACTAAAGCCGAACTTTAATTTAACAGCAATGATACTCTAATGATAAACTGTCTTTAGATCAGAGTTTAAAAAGATTGTAAATCGACTTAATCGTTTATGATGTAATCCAATTATTCTGGTAATGCATAAATAAGGCTGTGAACTGGCATCTGCTTATTTTAAAATGGACTAGCCCTTATCTGTGATCACCGAGCTGAAACTCAAAAAATATATCTTAATCTAATCGGCAAGTGGACTATACTGAGCTTCCAGGTCTGGATGACAACAATACTCTTTAACTATGAATTTAGGTATCTGTAAATGAGGTATTTAAACACAGAGTCAATGTAAGCAAATGCTCACATGAGACTGTGATTTCTTGAACATGTTTGTATTTATTTGGCTATTAAACACCTAGAGAGAGCGAGGATTTCTGCAGATAACAGAAAGGCTTGAATCTATGGAAACGTCTTGTTTTATGATTTATCATTCATTTAAATTTGATAAATACTGGAATTGCATATTTTAGCAGCCCTTAAGAATCCACACATTCTGGAACAAGAGGTCCTGAAGTGGAGTTCAGCATTCACACTAGACTTTTAAGATAATCTTCAGGAATCTAAATTTGATAAACAATTCAGAATGGTGAAACATATTTATGCTGAAAATGTAGAGATAAAAGCACAAGTAAATGGATAAAACGTCTGCTCATCCATTTTTGTGTGATCTTGTATTTTCTTTTGGAAAGAGAAAAATATATTTTATTTAGTTGTCATCTTCTCCAAGTCTCTTCCACTATTATTTTGTGGGTCACATTGAGGTGCTGCTTTGGAATATGCAGCCCAAAATCTGTAACTGCAGCGATTACTAAATAGTAATTCAAAATGATATAGTTTCAAATGTCAGCTCTGTGATAAGTTATAGATAAGGCCAGTTTTAGATAAAAAATGATCTTTTTTCTAATGTAATTAATTAATATTCTTCTTCCGATATATATTTTGAAACAGCACAAAAATCTTTACTTGAAGGTGAAGTTTTACAAAAACAATAACAAATAAAACAATCTGAAATCAGAACCTTTGTGGTCATCATGTGGCTTGTAGTGATTTTACCTGAGAAAGATTGAAGGAGGCCACTGTACTGTCATCATACAGCAGGATGTTGATGGTGTCTAAAGCCCATGTGCTTTCTGCCAGTAGGCCGGACTTCAGAGACATCATAACGCGCCAGGCTTCAGGCGTCCCTGGAATCCAGACAATAGGAATTAAAGGTATGCAGTGATCAATGAGAAGCAGAAAATGAGGTAATTTCAACAATCAATGAAATGTCTTACCACAGTCCTTTGATGTGAGCTTGCGTTTTGGCTTGAGGATTGGCATTGTGGCTTCTACTGACCCTGGAGGGTAGTTAAGGTCCCTCCTCAGATGAGGAGGAAACTGACACATTGGTCCACTGGCTTGTGAGCCCATCATGGCCATCCCTGGCTTAGGCATCTTCATGGGGGACATGAAAGGGGCTTTACTGGGTGACATTCGAGATTCCATCGAGCGCTGAAAGGCCCCTGGGCTGGGCGCTCGAGGCAAGTGGTTGGTCATGGATGGAGGGTTGGAATAGGATGAATGGCGTGATGACATGGAGGCCATGCCGCCTGAGGATGACATGTAGGGAAGCTGACGGTGCCACTGGTCCTGTGCGGAGCGACCTTCCATGTCATCCCTGCAGACAGAGCCATACGGCTGCATTTGGGACGTTGGCCCCTGTCTGCCGTGGTAGGGATAGCTTAGATCTGTTCTCGAAGGCCACATGTTTGGTCCCTCAGCAGCATGGTTAGAGGTTGGCCCCCCACCCATCATACTGTGCTGGTTCTGGCCAGATGGAGCCATTCGGTCTCGATGGTAGGGGTAAGGGAACTGTCCTTGGATGGGTCTAGACTCAGGGCCTGAGTACCCACCCCCGTAGTGATTGTACACATCTGGCTGCTGGTTGGTGTACTGCATGGCGTACATTTCAGTCTCATGTCTTTTGGGCGGGGGACCGTACATTCCATCCAACTGTCGCTTGTAGCCCTGATTGAGCAAAGTCCTTGTTAGTACACAGAAAAAAAACACACAGGCCCAATCCTGAAATAAATGCCATTAACGTTAAAATAGCTTTGGATATATGTAAGGTTTTCAGAAATGTAAGCACATTTAGACAAGTGGTTTTTACTTTACTCTCTTTTCTAAACTCTGGAGAATCTGTTAGTTCAATCTCTAACATTATGCTCTCTCTGCTTTTGCTCATAGTAGCTCAAACTGAGCCTGGTTCTGCTGGAGGTTTTTTGCTGTTAAAAGGGAGTTTTTCCTCTCCACTGTTGCTACAAGCATGCTTAGTGTAAGGGGTTGCATTCGAGTCAATAAGTCGATCAACTGGTTTTCCTTAGATATAAAACTTTGACTCAATTTGACTGTATGATCTGGTTGAACTGTAAAGTGCCTGGAGATGACATGTGTTGTGAATTGGTGCTATAGAAATAAACTGAAATTAATTGAATTAAACCTTCAAGTCACACAGAAAGATATTTCTTCAGCTGTACTACTGAGGCATTTAAAATACTCCTGTCTGTTTTTGCCATGGATTTTCTGCACCATTTAGTCTGATCCTTGTTAAAACCGAGCTCTTCAAGAGAAAAACGATATTTTAAAAATATTTGGAGTACTAGGTCATCTAGAGATTAACAAAAAGTATGACCGACTGGCAGACCTTACTTATACCAAATAGTACTTTCTGTGCTGGAAGACCTTAACTCTAGAGCTCTTCATATCTGTTCAGCCTTGCCCTGATAGTGATCCGGAAAAAGTATATAACATAAACCGTTTATGATCTTTACCTCCATAAAAGTACATTTTAAATGGAGAATAAAACAACATGGTCTTTTTGCATAAGTCTCTCAAAGGGTACTGTTTAAACCTTTTTTTTTTTTTTTCGTTCCTAGATCTCATCTAGGGTGGTTGATGAAGTATTTTGTTTTCTCCTATAACACAATTATAGTCTTGAAATGTCACCGCTGCAAAGGGCCAATTCATGCACACTGGATCTTGGCAACAGTACAACAGCAAAAACAGCACAAATTCCTTTTTTTATGTACTACAGTATGTCAAAGAATATATATATATATCTTTTAAATTTTACTGTCAGACTTTCCAAAACAGCCAACACTAAATAATTAAATACAGTATTCTGTATTTCATGACTTTACATTATTAATTCATAAGCTACTCCAAACCTTTCTTGTCAAAGTTGTCCAGATTTTGGCTAAAAAGTTTAACACTCTTTTATGGCAGTATCACATTTCAGGAGGCATGAAGACAGTGAACTTGGGTATGAAATAGCAGCTAACAGTGCTGTGTCTCACCTGTTGCTGTGGGTACATCCCAGATGGATGCATCCCATACGGCATGCTGGGATACTGCTGCCCATAGCCGTCATGTCTGAAATACAGAAGTCAAAGCAAAGTTCTCATCTATTGACAGACTGTAAGTCTTAAATAAGAAATTACTGCTAAATCCACAATAAAGCTGCTGACCTCTGCTGTGAAGAGTATCTGCTGGGAGAATAAATGTTGCCTTCACTATTCGAGTGTCCCATGTTGTTTTGACCTCCAGGAGGCCCCATGGTTCCCTCCATCCCCATCATATGGTCAGGTCTAAGAATTAAACAAGACTACAAGTCATGCTTAACAGACCACCTACATTTATGCAAAATACAGTTGAGAAATTCAAAGCCTCAAACTTTGAATGTATAGGTAGTTTTATTTATTTGGTTATTTCTACCTGTCTGGCTGCCTTTCCAGACACATCTTAAAAGAGAATTTGACGCTATTTCTAATATTTTCACTACAAAAATGATCTAGAAATTTACCCTTACTTTGACTAGGTAAATAAAATGATTTGCCAATGGAATGATTATTTTGAGTATTTTTACTTTAAAAAAATAGATAATATGCTCTTGAAATAAGAAAATGCAATTATTTTGTTATTTTAAATGGAAATTGGCAAAGTGTCTCACTTACTCCCTCAATTCAAGACGAAATGCACTTATTTTAAGAAAAAATGAATTATTTAGATTTCAATTTTCTGGAGTGTTGAAATGAAAACGTTTCCTGGATGAAAAGCGAATTCTCTTCAAACTTGGAATCAAAGTCCAGTGGATTGTTTTTTAAACTTTTTTTGGAATAATAATAATAATGACTGTATGATAAAATCTGCCCAACACTGGCTGGTTAATGTCTGTGATTGTGCGATTTTACCTGCGGTCATAGCCTGGTCCATATGGATACTGGGAGCGCTGGCTCATGCTCAGGCCTGATGGGGCCCGACTGTACAAGTCCTGCATACCTCCACTGGACATCTGGCTTGGTATATATGGATCAGCTCCTGCCACTGCAAGAATATAAAGCAGTAAAATAAAAAGAAATGTTATAATAATACCATTAATCTACCACTAGAGGGCAGCATCCCTCTATGAATACTCCCCAGTCCATCTTATTAGCCCTATTGTTCTGTGTGTTGTTATGCAGCTGCCATCAACCATATTATTCATTCAGACTTCATTCTCCTCATTTTTTAGAGGAGCTGCCATTTCTTTCCAGGAAAATCTACATTTTTCTTCTGAACACTAAAACACAGGTTGGTCAAAACAGGTGCATCTCAGCAGGATTCAAGGGATTAAAGGTTTGAAGAAGGAAAAACTGCAATAAAATGCAATGAGTGGAATAATGGAGACAAAGACTAAGTAACAAGATCTCATGATAGCTCATGTTTTTGATAAAAGGGATGAGTGATGCTGCAAACAATCCCTTTATTTATTTGTTTAATAAAACACACACATATATCCTGATCTGAGGAGACATGGCGATTTAATAATGAATTAGACCAACAAGGCAGAAAAAAGAGCAATGGCTCCAAGACTAGTGATTAACTTTGCCAAAGAGGTGTGCATGTTTACAGAAAGTTTAAGGGTAAAGTTTTAAAATGTCAAACATCTGTTTTTTAAATTCCATCCATCACAAGTAACATTTGAAATCAGTTAAAGTTTTGTGTCTAAATAACACAACCTGAGGTTCAAAAAATGTAAAAAAATATGAAAGTGTGTAACCAAATCGTAATATAGATTTTTTTGGTACAACATCGTCCATCCCACTCACTCTTCCTCATCCCTGCGAAGGGGTCCTTAGCATCATACTGCATCCTCATCATCATGTCAGGCATGCCGAGGGCCTGCTGGTACGGAGCTGAGGGGGGCAGGCTGCCTGTTCGCTTCTGAAAGGCTGGGTCGCTCACCTCAGAGAAGGGGTCCTGCACGCTTACACTGCTCCTGGACAATACAGGAGAACAAAAATTAGGAATTTAATTTCTTGATAGTTGAATGAATAACATATGATAGACTTAAAAAGAATGTCTTTTTCACCTTACATGCAGTTAAAATCACTGTTTTTATGGCTAAAGTGTTACTCATTCCAAACTGAGACCAATATTTAAAAAAATATTTTCCATTAAGTGTCTTTAACGACCGTAAAAAAAAATATGTTAAAGCACAACTTAAGAGAGGCTATCTTCTACAGCTGAGTGGCCTGTGGGGAGAGCAGGAGGGCAGGGGGTAAGTCTGCTTGTCTCCCCCCCAGCACAGCCATCTCATGTTTGAGTTTACCCCCATTGATAAGAGTATCCCTTTGCCCTCAGACTGTTGTTTCAGCATACAGGTTGAAGGGCAGCACGGTGTACCAGGCCTTCTTAGCGTCCTTGGGGGGGTTTGGGTTAGGGATACCATCATTCTACTGGTAGACTTTAACAGCCATCAGGGAAAGAACAGTGACACCTGGAGGGGCGTGACTGGGACGAACGGTGTTTCATTATTGGACTTCTGTGCAAGTCATGTACAATCCATAATCAACACCATGTTCAGACATAAGTATGTCCATCAGTGCACCAGGACACCCTAAGCTTGAAGTTGATGGTCAACTTTGTAGTCGCATCTTTTGACCCTCGAACAAATGTCCTGGAGACTCGGATAGGGAGAGGGGTGGAGCTCTCCACCCATCACCAAGGAGTGGTAACATCTGGTTCTTGTTTAACTCCCACCTCTGGGTGAGCTTCTCACAGATTCTGGGGAGGCTGCCGGGGCTGCCTACAGGGCTGCCCATAGGTGTGGTCGAGCCAGCAATCCCAAAACCCGGTGGGGGACAGAAGCAGTAACGGATGATGTCAAGCTGGAGAAGGAGTCCTGACGCAGCAAGCAGGTATTGGGAGGCCGAGCGTGTTGCCAAGGCAAAAACTCTGGCCTGGGAGGAGTTTGGAGAGACCATGGAGAAAGACTGCCGGCTAGCCTTAAAAGGATTCTGGCAAATCCTCACCTATGGTCTTAAAATCTGGATCATGACCGAAAAAACGAGATATCGTATACAAGCTCAATATTGAAGCGTAGTCTGCGCTATACGCTGTGGTTCTAGATACGGCCGAGGCGGAGAGGAAGAAGTAGGGGCAAATTTGTCTGACATCGGAGGGACATCAGGGCGAAAAAGAGCCCCAGCTTTCTCGTGCACCTCGGTCTTCTAGCACCTCGTCGTTTTGTTCACTGCGACAACTACTCAGAAAACATAGTTTCCGAGTATAAATCAGCCTTTAGAGAGGGTGAGGAGCTTTCCATTTAGGAGAGGCTCAGAGTAGAGCCACTACTCCTCCATATCGAGAGGAGGTGTCTAAGTAGAGGGAAATTTGTTGAGACTGCTGCCCCTGCGACCCGGTCTCAGATAAAGCGGAAAACTACAAATACGACTACAGTGTTAAAAATCTCAAAGATGTTTTTTACTAAATACTCAAAATATGCCATTCCATATGGCTAGCACTGATTTTCAGAGGCGAAAGTAAAACGTCAGCTTTGACTCTTCCCACAACTGTTGCAGATAGCTTTCAAGGTTTTAATTAAAACAAGCTCTGATAAAGTAATTAAAGTTAAGATTATAGAATCATTTAGATAAACATCTTTCTTATTTTAAGGAGCAGAGATTTGGACGTTTGCCACCAGTAATTAAATAACTGAATAACCTAGGAACTTTTACATGGTAAACAAACATCTCAAACAGAGACAAATATCTCTGTGTAGAAACATGTTCATGTTTTATGCATTACTATTTTCCATTTTTCAATGAAGTCTTATTTTGCTGGTTTTAATTATTTGCTTTGTAAAAACAGATTTCCTGATTAACTTCTTAATTCTAATGAAGCCTTACTTTTTTGATAGTTTTAACTCTGTTTATTTGTATCATCAATTTTACAGGTTTATTTCTTAAACACCTTGTTGGGGTCTTGGCCAGTGATCTAGCTTTTGGCTAGAGGTCTACAGACAGAATAAAGAGCTCTTACAAATATAAGTATTTTCCCTGCTCAAATGCATTTGACATAAATAAATACGGTAATACATGAGCAAAAACAGCTATACCCGGCTGCTACGAATGGGGAGTTAAGAGTTTGCTAGATATCAGGAAACTGAAGGTATTAGTCCATATATGCTGTTTTATTTATTAGAAGATTCCAGTTCTGACTGTTATGAAAGATGTTGGATTAGGAAATTATGTGTCTACTGTCTGTATAGAAAATGAATAAACTTGTTAGTAATGTTTACCACAATAATCAGGCAACTCTTTAACATAAAATTAGACATGATGGTGAAAACTGCAGAGCTGTGTAACAGAGACGCGTAATTGACGTAATTGATCCTAAACACTCTTGCTAAGGCTTTTGTACCTAAATGTATATGACTAATTCAGCTAAAGATCTACATATTAACACTAAATTTGGGAGTTTTCTTTTTGAATATTCACTTGGACACAACTGTCATTTATATCTAGATGATCACATTGAAATAAGTTGAAAAACTGATTATATTATATTCTATATTGTGCAATAAAACGAAGGAAAAGAAAACAGTATTAGGGTTTAAAAATTAGATAACATATGCTTTAATGATTCTTATGTAGGGTTAATTTGTAGATACCTCCGTCCAATAACCTGGGGGATTTTACTTTGCAGATTGTCAGAAATAATTTATAGTTACATTTTACACATTTGTTATTTTCAGGTATTCCAGAAAGTAGATCAGCATTTTGTAATTAGAGCAGGCTAAAATCAGTATCTGCATTCCGAAAGTCTCACATTGGTTCATCTCATTTAATGCTAACTACCCATAAATTTACTGGAAACATAAACTACTTAGTTAGCTATGAATAAATATACCTGTTGGGGGGCAGTGGAGTGACTTGTCCCAGTGGGGTGGTGGCTGGTGTAGGGGGTTTCAGGTCACCTGCTGTCTCTGCTGCAGAGCTGCTGCCAGATGACTGAGGCGTCTGTGGACCTTGGAGGGAGCCACCTGAGTTGGCTGGGAGACAAGAGAGGCATTATTACTAAACCTGAAGGATTCCCTGACTTCTCCCTCAAACTGCTGCAGATTGAGGCGGCCGGGCTCCATGCGGTCCTCTGCTGCGATACGGAGGCTGGTTTGAGTTAAAGCAGACAATGTGAGATTTTATCACAGCAAGGTGCTGTATCTGGGAGATAACTTTGGGCTTATGTCCAAAGCACTCAGACTGATGCCCAACATGAGAACTGAGCCATGGCAAAGGCTCCACGTAAAAACAGGGAGGACGGAAACAGAGACATGAAGCAAAGACGCAGCAAGGAGGGGAGAGGAGAAAAATTCTAGGTCATCTAAGAGCAGAGCATCACGTTATTCAAAGCTGAAGCTGTCCTTCAGTGCCTTGCAAAAGTATTTAACATAATCACACTTCAAAATTTCACTTAAAGATGCTAACATTGCTGTGAGGGATTGCCTTGCAGTCAGTGAGTCGATGCAATCAACTGGTTTTCCTTCACCGAAAAAGATAATGCAACAGTTTTTGGCATTTACTTCGTATTCAGTTACTTTAACACAATTGTTTTATATTAGTGGGGTAGGACATAAAACAATTAAGTTAAATACTAAATATGATTAAGCAAATGCCAAAAGTGGGTGCATTATTTTTTTTATGTGTTGGATAGAAAACTCTGAATCAGTTAGACTTTATGATCTGGTTGCGTTGTAAATTAGCACTATAGCAATAAACTCAGTTGAACTGAATAGATCATAAGAGCTGCCAGGAAAATGTACAACTCCTAAGGGCTACAAGCATACATTTTTATTCAACATTTTCTCATTATCAGTTTTTATGAAATCATACGAAAAGTTATGCACCCTTTTTCGTACGTTTTGGACGTTTTTCCTAAAAAAAAAAACATCAGCGCGCATGCGCTGGCAGACAGAAAAAAAAGCAGATCCGCGGACGGACGTAAAACTGGGAAAAACAGTGCAATCATCACTTATTCATGTCTCTAACTACGTTGCTCGCTGTTTTATATCTTAGGGTTAGGGTTAGGGCTAATTGTAATTTATATTCTAGATTCATTAATGGTGCGTCAGATGCGCATGCGCATACGACGAAAAAAACGTCCAAAACGTACAAAATTACGGTGCATAACTTTTTGTACGATTTCATACGCACTCATAATGAGAATAGGTTTTATTTGGGAACAAACCCCGAAAAAGGTCACAGAGGGCATTAACAATAAACGTTTAAGAAAAACTACCAGCAGCTCCCTAAATCCTGAATAGTTATAGCACTGATTGAAAAAAAAAAACCCCAAAATTAAACTAAATTGGAGATCCAGACAGGGGTAAAAACTGGTTAAGGGTTCTATTTCCTTATTACACCTCATTTAATTCAATTCCTAATTCAGATGACTGGAAAATTATAACCTAGTGGTGCTACAGCAACCCCAACCCCCAGCCAGATAAAACCAAGTGATACAAATTCCCAGAATGAATGGAAAATGAAACCCTGTTGAGCAAAAAGATGACAAAGACACTGAGGGAATAGGAAAGTTTCCTAATGAGCGTTTAGTGTAAAAAGTCTTTTTTTTCCACTGGAATAGCCTTAGCAGCCTCTCCCTGTACCACGTTTCCTTAAGAAAAAAAAAAAAGTCCCTCGTAAGACTTAAGCTTTAAAAATTCATGGTAATTCTGAATTATTCAACAATACCGGCTGCCTCTACATCACAGGAGACAGATAGGGGAGAGACAGACTGAGGGGTAGATGGTGTCCCATGATGATGAGCAGAGGTGAGAAAAGAGGGCACAGACGGGTCACTGAGCTCTTTTTGGGCTATCCCGGTGTCAGACCGAATGAATATGCAGACGCATGCCCACGTGGAGGAGAGGGAAACAGTCCAGAGGTCAGCCAAGGTTAAAAGGTTTGTCATTCTTCAAGAGCAGACCAGTCGACTGCATAGAAAGGTGGAGGGGAGAGGTGGAAAGGAGAATGAACTGAAATGCCCTCTGCTCCACATTTAGCTGGAGAAAAAAAGCTGGCAGACGAGAGGGGGAAGTAGCGTGTACGCGTGAAAGTCTGGATGTGTGTCAGTGACATAATCCAGGGATGGGGGGGGGGTTAAGGAGGAGTACAAAAAAAAAAGAAGGAAAATCAGTCAGCTGAGCTGCTTTTGTGAATGAGAGGTGATGTAGAGGTCGAGTTTGTTTACATTCTGCTTTCCAGCCTTCATTAATCACTCCACCCTCCCCGCCACCAGCTTCACACAAACACACTCAGACCCCAGCCCTCCGGCCAGGCTCCCTCAGTGACATCACACAACTGTCAGTCTATATTTAGTCTGGTAGGGTGTCAGGAGCAGTCTGAAGTAAACAGAGGGATTTCTATTCTAAAGCTTATATATATAAAAAAAAACTTTCCTTAAAAGGTTTAAATGTTGATATTTACAGAAATTAAAGGTTGGAACTCCTTAAATGAAAAAAAAAAAATCTAAAAGTAAGTAGTAATAACAGATTATAGTTGAGTTAGTAACCTTAGACTGCTAAACAGGGCGGCTGGAAGTACTTTTGAACAGAACGTCTTTGTTTTTTGAATTACTTATTGAATCGGTAAATGGACCATATAGTGACGCTTAAAAGTATAATGTTCTCGCCTCAAATGATCTTAAAACGTACTTTTATTGAACAACAACAGCAAAGGATACTTTTAACTTCATACGCTGAGCTCTGTTAACGCTCCATTGAAAGCTGCAGCTATCGCAGTGCATGCTGGGATAGCTGTCAATCTCAAGAACGGGCAAGTCTGCTCTAATGCATGTAAAGAGGGAGGGACAAGAACTACAGGGACTTTGTCTGTTCTCTGTCTTGTGGTCTTGTGAATTGGAGCAGTACTGGGGCTGAGGCTGATGACGTTTCACAAATACGTAAGCACATGAGAACGCACAAGTACACAAGTTGAGAAACGGCCTTAGATACATTTGAATTTGCACACTAATACTTAAGGGTTTGTGTCCTGAAGGCTTTAGATGCTGCAGCACATGTGACCCACATATGAACTCGTTAGCAGGACTCTGAAAAGCTTGGTTACATGCTAGTGAATCAGTTCAGACGTTTGCTTCAGGTATGTTGGGAAACTGACCCTGACCTTCAAGGAGATGGAGACCTCTCTGTGTGTAGAGTTGGCTTAATCAATCTTTCTTTGCTGACCTTTTTATTGCTTGTGCAAAACCCCAAATGGTCAACATCAGGTATCTCTGCCCTGGCAGTGCTAGAACCTTTTGCCTTCTCAGATAAGGGTAACTGTATTATTATGTAATGCTGTTTTAATCTGGTCTGCTTTAACAGAATTTCCATCCATCCTTTACTTTGCAAACATAGCAGCTTGGCTTCAGATTTCAGACACAGCTGTGAGGATCACGGATAAAATCTTGTGTGATGAACAGCACCTGTTATCTGGCCGCTGACAGATGGGAGGGAGTCTTTAAAAAACGAAAAAGAAAAGAAGTGCAACACTCTGTTATCAGGACTCACCTGGCGAGGGCGGCTGGATCTTGACCTGCTTCCTGCTGTCCCCTTCAGTCAAGCTGCCGCCGCTGTTGCTGTCTGTTGGCGGCTCCTCTCCTCTCTCCATTTTACACTCATAGGCAAACAGATACTGGATGTACTGCTTCTTCAGCGTGCTGGCAGAGCTGCTGGATGTACCGACATTCAGGGTGCCGGACAGCTCGCGCCACTTCTTGTTCTTGTTCACCTGACAGATTGAGGGAATCAAGCAATGATGTTAGTGATCTCATTTCAATAATAAAAAAAAAACAATCCTAACATTGTTGCACAGTTTTGACATGTTGGGTTTAATTTGAGGAATAAAAATTATTTTGAAAACATCACATCCCAAGGATGAACCTCACAGCATACTGGAATTCTTTAGATGCTCTTATTCCAGATGAGTTTCTTCCAGTAAGTAGGAAAAACATATTTACTCTCGCAGCCAAATTAAAGATTTTCTGCATTTTCGCTTTGGAAGAAAATTACTTGGCATCATTTGGTATGAGATGGAGTGCAAGGTAAACTCAGCTTTATTGATCTTCACTCTAGCTTTTCTTTCAGATTCAAAATCTTTTGTGAAGCATTTAAAAAAGAATGCATGTTGTTATAGACGCCCCACGCTTTCAAATACATTCTGTATATAAAGACGTTTTATTTGGATTCCCTGCAAATTTGGCTTGAGGGAAGAATAAAAAAAAACTCATGCAAATGAGAGGATTACAAAGACTTTAATGCTTAAAGGCCAAATATTTGCCACTAAGTGCTATTTTGAGTTTAAACTGTTCCCTTAATCTGTAATATTATTCCATAAATTCTGCTGTGAGGCTGTTTACCATAGCAAGGCCTCCGATATCCCGAACAGCAACATACAGCTTCCAGAGATCCAGCGGCTTCTTTCCCACAACAGGGAGCTGTGAAACAGGCGTTCCCCGTTCCTCCATGAAGGTTAGGTAGCGCTCCACCCAAGATCTCCTTTCTGGCTCTGAACCAAGGTCATAGAGTCGGCTGACTCGCTCCCCACTGATGGAGGAGTTAGGAGTGGCTTTCTGCAGAGATACACACACAGTAGTGTAAAAATTGTTTTTTTTTTAATAAGATTTTATGGATATCATATAAATTCAAAACAATCCAAACTTTTCCTAAAAGGCTTTAGTGTATTCTATTTAATTCATATAGACCCACACAAAGTAGTTCAGGGGTTCATATAGATAAAAAGGAGAGAAAACTGATACTTTGATTATAAAAAAAAGTCCAGAAGAGCTGCACAGATCTTTAGCTCAGCTGGATGACTGTCTGCTGGTCAACTGATAAAAAAAATCTGGCTTTAATGGAAGAACAGCATAAAAATTCTGTCTTAGAAATTAAAAAAGCTACTAATTTCAATTGCAATTTACAAAAAAGCCAAGGTTGGATAAAACCAGCTTTATGGATGCCATTACATGCACAATTACATGAATGGTAAAAAAAATAACACCACACCTAGACTCAGTATCCACATGATAAAACATGGTAGTAGCCGCAGCATGCTAAGGGAGGGCTTTCTTTTACCTGATATTTACTCAAAACACAAAGCTAGAGCTTAATTAACATTGTCTAAAGCAAAGCATATTTGTTTGTTGGATTGGCTTAGTCAAAGTCCAAATATTAATCTAATTAATGATTTGAGAGACCAGGTCTAGACATCAATCAATCAATCAATCAATCAATCAATCAATCAATCAATCAATCAATCAATCAATCAATCAATCAATCAATCAATCAATCAATCAATCAATCAATCAATCAATCAATCAATCAACTTTTTTGTCAACTACACTTTACATTGCAATCGAGATTTCAGTTTCAGTACAAACCGTCATCTCTTGACATCTGGTAAAGAAATACCCCTGAAGATTTGCAGATCTAACATCAGATCTATAATCACAAAAGGTGTTTTTTTTTTTTATAAATGTTTGTCTTTCTGGGGGTTGAAAAAACTTCTATTATTCTTTTTTTTATTAAAAAAGATGTGTCTTTTTCCTTCTAGTTCATCATTCTTAACACTACTCTGTTATGCTCTTAAACAGGAAACTATCAAAACACAAAAGAGCTCAAGGCATCTTAATAATTTTGTGAGCCACTGCATAAAACCCACCATCATGTTGTATTACCCGATGTACAGTTTGCAGTTTATTTTTCTCCTGCTGTCTTCTGCTAAAACAACCCACTCACCCAGTCAGGGTCATTAAAAATTCATCTGTTATTTACACATTGTGAAGTGGACCCCTGGTTGAACAAACTAGCAAAACTAAACACTTTTTTTCTCAGATTAATTTGTCCAGTGTGCAAGCTGTGTTTATTTCAAAGCTCATTCACAACAATTTTCTCCCCCTCAAATTTAAAGACCAGGCTTTAAAAGCCAACCTCTGATTTAAAAGCTCTTTAAATTAATAGTTAGACAATATTTAAACAAACAAATAAATGTGATTTCTAATTCTTACGGGACTGGAGGGGGTCTTCAGAGGCCAAGGTGGACTACTGATGCTATCGCTGTCATCTCCGTGGTAGGAAGACAGGCTGGCAGGACTGGGTGAAAGAGGGGAGGGTACGGGCAGGGTGCTGCCTGGAGTAGCTGGCTGGGACACACTGCTGTTGTTATTGTTCATGTAACCATCCTGCAGCTGTTGGAGAGACATTAATAAGACTTTAGAGCAAAAAAATATATATTTTATTCACCTATCTTCTGCAGTTTCATCTGAAATACAGTTTATAGTTTATCCAAGAAGTTCTGCCACTTCTATATTCAGATATACCAGAAGAGTATCTGCAAAATCAAGTTTTTATCTTTAATAAAATTCACAAATAAACATTTTATTTTTCTTTCTCTTTGGGATGATTAAAGTAAGTCAGGTAGTTTATTTATGATGTGATTTATTATTACACTATAGTGAAGAAGACCTACTAGTTTTTAATCAGAAACAATGTGAGAGTAAAAAAAAGATTTGTGCATGCACAGATGTATTTAGAAACATGACATTTACCCACAATTATAAATAAGACCTGTCCAATGTTCACATTAAGGCTTGCTTATGACATGCAGTGTGTTTTGTATCTGAATACAAGGCTAATTTCAAATCAATTTAATTAAAATTATTTCTATAGCGCCAATTCACAAGACATTATCTAAAGGCACTTTACAATTCAACCAGATCATCAAGTCAAATTGATTCAAAGTTTTCTATCTAAGGAAAACCAGTTGATTGCATCGACTCATTGACTGGAAGGCAATCCCTCACAGTAAGCATGCTTGTAGCGACAGTGGAGAGGAAAAACTCCCTTTTAACAGGAAGAAACCTCCAGCAGAACCAGGCTCAGTGTGAGCGGCCATCTGCCGAGGCCGACTGGGGTTCAAGGAGAATAAAAACTAATGCTCTGCTATACATACGATACACACGATTTGAAATGCCTTTGATTTTCATAAACATCCTTAAAACCTGTTTATTTCAATTTTATCACCCAGGGAAGATAATCAGCTATAAGGTTTGAATGACTAAGACTTTTTTTCATAACAACAGATTTGGACCTTAAAACAAACATGACAAGTTGAAAACATGGAATAAAGCAGATTTACATCCTGTTTGAATGTGAGTTGTTTTCATTAAACAAAAGTTTAAAAATTAAACAATTAATCAAACTTATACTTGTGGAATTTTCTGCAGTTTTGAACTAATCATTAAATTTTTAGGTGTTCTGTAACACGCATGCCAGAAATCTATTTCGCAAAACAAATTACATTAAAAAACAATCATACTTTAATGTCCCTTTGACCATTGTAAGAGAAAAGAAAAAATCTGTTTTACAACTTTTACAAAGTTTTAGTTAGAAAAAAAAAATAGGCTGCAAACAGCTTATTTTTATATACTCTTATGACCAAAAACCCTAAAGCATTTCCATTTGAAAATAATTTAATAAATCTAGTGGACATTTCCTTCTCTATAGTCTGCTCTTGTTGGCATTTAATTACAGGATATGCATGAGAAATAATCAGTTTTATTAATAATTGAAACAGCATTTCCACCTTTTAAAAAACTAAGTAATGCAAGGTCAAAATGGTAATAATTTTACATAATCTCATCTAGATGACCTACCTAATGACATATACAGTTTCATTTTCATTCAGCATAAATGTATAAATACAGTTTTCAGCTGCCAGTGTTAGAATTCAGTGTAATATTATACAAATTAGCTACTGCTTTAACATAACAGGCAAGATCAAGTTTGAGCTTTTTATGGTTTTATTTCTATACATAAGGAGTCATTATGCAGAAACCCTTTCAAAAATATTCAAGTTGAATTTGCTTTTTAACAGTTGCCAGTTTGTTGTAACTATAGAGAATAGTTAATAGGAAATAGTCATATAAAGGAGCATCGGAGTAAAAACAAATGAATACATCAGATCCTGCATAAATGTGAGATTGCTCAAATATGAAAAGTTTATGAATAATTTTGCCAGTCGCAGTTAAAGTAGATCAAATGATAGAAAGCTCTTCACAGTGTGTGTAAGTGTGTGAGTATTGGTGAATCAGTGTGGGTGTGCGTGGAAGTCAGTGTGTGCGCGCGTGAGAGAGAATCTGCAAAACTGGGAACAACAGCTTACAAGAGCTTCTTGTCTGTGTTCAGAACGCACATGTCAGCAAAACCTTATCTTTTTGCCCCTCTCTTTTTGAATCGAACTCGTTTTCTCTCTCTTGGCAGACAGATCATCTCTTTTGGGAGCACTGGAGGTCTTTCTGGCTGCTCCGTCTGCCTTAAATAATTCAAAAGGCCCTACTACCGTAATCAGCAAAAGAAAAGACAGGGATTTGGAGGGAAAATGCGTGTAGTGGTTGTGATGGAGGCGTGAGTGTGTATGTGTGCTGAAGATGAGTTGTTAGGCAAAAACAAGAGTGGTGGAGGGCCAGAAAAGAGCAAAGAGCAAAGTTTTGTTGTTGCTGAGCTGAGCTAAGCTGCTATAGTGGGTCAAAATAAGAAGTCGTCATTGTATGTAAAGACACGTGTGCATGAGTTAAATGAGGCAGAGGGGGAACTTTGCATGTTTGGTAACTAAAACTCAGAAAGTGTGTCTTCTTTTAGCGTGCACGCATGTATACTGCACATGCCAAATCCGCCTCCTTGTCTCTTTGCCTCCCTCTTTATTGCAACTCTAGCTGCCAAAACATCAGCAACTAAAGAGTGCTGCAGGCGAAAACAAAGCGAGGGAAACATTAAGATTGGTAAATGTTAAACAAATCATTAAATATGAGGAGAAAACAACAGAGAAAGAGCCCACTGAGCTGAGGCAGCATATGCTGATCAGATTTGGTTTGCTTCATTTACATCAAAGAAGCTAAACCAAATGATAAAAAAAGAAATAAAATCAAAGAAGTAAATGAACTGAAAAGACGGATCTGGGGGAGAGGATGGTTACCTTTGGTTTGTGTGGTTCGTTGTTTTGGCCGCTGTCATCTTTGACATCCAATCTCAGTTTATTTTCTGGGCTCATTATGCTTTCTCCTGAGAGGCCCATTGCTCCTTTAAACAAAAGGAAACAAAACATGAACAAAAACAATTAAAACTAAATCTTTAAACTAAATTCACAGCATAGATTCTTTTTTGAATATGTCCCACTTTAACTTTTTTACGTTAAAGGTATGGGGGTGGATGTTCTTTGGCCGGATGGATGATCAAAGTGGCTCTCCTAACTGTCAGTCATTCTGGTGATATGTTTCTGTGCATGCGCACTTTCAGGTGTATATGTGTGGTGAGCTACGGTTTCAGCCAATCATTGAAGCTCGCCTTTCTCACTGAAGTTCTTTGAATATGGCTGAGGGTTGTAAGAATAAAAGTGTCTACAAAGCGTATGAGAAGAAGAGAAAAGGATCATAATAGAGAAAAAAGACCAGAGTGTTTTTGGAAGATTCTTTCACGCGATGGCGTGCACTGAAATCACAGGTCGGGCTTCCCATTGATGCACGACGGTTGCACAGTTTGCAAAGTTAGTTTGCTATTTGGATATATTCATTTCACATCACTGCTAGTAAAAGTTATCTATCTCCAGGGAAGATACGTTTTTTATTTATTAGTAATAGTATTTAGTTATATGGTGGCCACAGATCCTTATTTACCCTGCAAACATGCCAAAATTTACACTGCAGCACACACACATATAAGCATGTCATGATTGTTTTTACTTTACCAGTAGTCTTATTTGCAGGGAAACGTTTTATATGTAAATATGTGTGAGATGAGATCCACACAAGCAACAGTCTTATCATTGCGTCCCCGCACCTCCTTGATCTTTCACGTGTTTAATAAATTTAACAGTTTATGTCTGCAGAAAAAGTTTGCAGTTTTTCTTTGGAAAGTCGAGTCTTAATTTCTGTCGGACAGGTTACCCGGGAGCCACATCGCCCTGCAGCTTGGTTAAGGTGAGCATCCACATCGGAAACAATATTCAAGCAGCCCTGATTCAGTTTCATATTGGGGGATATCACCAAATATGACCGTTCTCATTCAAACAAACTCTAAACCACATAGCATGCCAAATTTTACGCACGTGCTCGGCCTCAGTTAGCTGTCTTTTTCTTTGCATGCACAATTTTATGTGGTGAGATACGGTTACAGCCAGTCATTAAATCTCACCTTTCTCACAGCGGTTTTTTGGAAAAGGCTGAGGGTCGTGTGAGAAAAAGTGTCTACAAAGTGCGTAAGAACAAGAAAAAGGCCTCGGAATAGAGGAAACAAGCCCAGAGTGCTTTTGAGAGATTATTTCACATGATGGTGTACGCTGAAATCACAGGATGGGCTTTCGACTGATGCCTCGGTTGCAAAGTTTCTACTCGACAGGTAAAGTTTAGCATGCTATTTGAAAAAATCAATTTCACATCACTACCAGTAAAAGGAGGAGAAATATGCTCGTGTAAACTGTGGCACATGTTTAATAGGCGTTTCCTCTCAGGAGAGAGTACAGGGTTTAGTGTGTGCATTTTTTTAAAGTGCAGAGGGCGGGTCTTATCAAGTAATAACCAAAATTGATAAATAACAGAAAATGTTCTTTGTGGCTCATTGTGATATTTAATAACAGAACAAAACAAATTTTTATGAGAAAAAGAAATGTTTTTTTTCACCATCTTTCACAGAAAAATCCCAAAAGGCATAAAAAAAAAACAAAACAAAAAATTATTGAATTTAAAATTAGATTTAGCATTTAGGAAACAAGGAACAAGTAATGGAGCGATGAAAAAAAAATGTTGTAACTTAACAACAGGTTGTACAGAAACATTAAACCATAAACGTAACACTGTTTATCTCTTTTTTTTTTCTGATTTTCCCATCAGTTTAATTTATTAACATTAACAATTCAGGCTGTTGATTTCATCCACATTTAAGTTACTTGCAAAAGTTTTCATGCTCCTCTGACAGTTTAGATTTGTTCCTATTCTAGAATGACAAAATTCAATGTAGTTTTGAGATATAACAAATCCAACAATAAATATATATATTTTTTTTTTTTCATTAGTTTTGTGTTTTCCAAAACAGAAAAAAATAGAAAATCGTACACTGTGTTGCCTATCATCTTACATGACTATGGCATACAAAGCAGCCCTGGCATTTTTCCATCTACACCAGCTCACTTATCGAACCAAGCTGTGCTGAAACTTGGATACCTCTAAAACCCGCAGGACAGGGGCCCTCGAGGGCCGACTTAGGGCCTCTGGTTAAGATTAAAGACATTTTTAGTTCAAATCTACAACTGAAATATTGTGGCACATAAAAATGAAGGTCCAAAGATGATTTTCATCCAGACTGAGTGCGGATAGAATACAAATTGGAAAGTGAGAAAATAGGATATTGCATAACTTAAAGAAATTGTAGTTTAATTACAGGATAAAGGAGGCGGTACAAAGCAATAACTCAGGGAGACTTTTCCTTCTACTTTACAAAACACTTAGTCGAAATCAATTGGATAATCTGATAAAAATAAATTATATAAAATATATTATAAATTAGATAAATTGGGCAATTATATAAATATTAAAATAAACAAAAGAAACATCTTAGCCCAAAACCATATAACCAGATGATGTTGAAAATGACTTAATCTGTGTAGATGGTGTATATACCTGAAGGCGGGGTACCGTAACCGGGACCTTGGCCGTTTCCTGTGGTCGAACTGTTGTTACTTGTTGGCTGACTGTAGGAGCCAGCGCTCACCTGATTGATGCCAGGGCCTTGGTAGCTTCCCTGCCTACAACACACGCCAGGGAAAAAATAAAATCCTTATTAGATTTAGTAGACATAAATCAAGTTAGTCACAATGTAATGACAGGCTGTGGAGAGATGCTGGTAGCAGAGGAACAGAAGTCACATAATGACAGAGATGCTATTTGGCAGTCTGTCATTGCCGCCCTCCTTTGCTGCTTTAGGAAAACACTCAGCGCCGCGTACATCTGAAAGCCGCGCTCTAAAGACATAGCATATCTCTGATCAAACAAACAGCTCTTCTGAAAGATTTAGAACGAGCACGTAGCATCAGGAAAGAAAAACAAAAATCTCTCTACTTGCCTCTTCCACTAATCCCCCCCCCCCCCATCTCCCTGAAGCCATAATTTAACTAATTAAGGTGTGCTTTTGGAGAGGATCTTGTTATTTGTTGCCATGGTGGCAGCAGAAATCAATGCTGCTTGCTCGACCCCCCCCTCGCTCAGGGAGCTCATCACACACTGTTGTGAGTGACATCAGAGGGGTCTTATCTGCAGAAGGCTAGCCTTCCAGAAGGTAAACACATGTTTGGTTGTATTTCTCCTGCTGATTAAAGATTATCTCCTGGATGACCATGTAAGAGAGACATAGAACCGCTTTGCAAGATGAGAACAAATGTAATATGATGAAGAAAGAAAATGATTCAGATCGAAGGTAAAGGAAAAACATGAAAGCACCCAGTTTGGCTCAATCCAGATTTAAACGTCAGTTAACTCTGTCCTTACCCGCATTCTTTCTTTTAAAACACAGACACATCATGTAATACCACATGTTGGAAACGACACACATTGCCGGAGAGGAGGGATCGGTTTGGTAAACCTCCACATAATCTCATCTCACAGATGTAATTAGTCATACAGCAGGGCGGATGATACATATGTAATCCCTCTATGGAGGCCGAGGTGCACAGGGGAGCTCCATGGCAAAGAAACAAGCGAACCAAATCCACGCTTATCTGTCCCTGTTTTCTTGTAACGACAGGAAGGTGCAGGTGGTGATGAGGGGGTTTATCCTCCTTCGATGCTACCTACGTCTTCCCTAAAAACCTTTGCATGAATCAAAGACAAAAAAATGTAATAAAATTACCTCTTGATTGTCATGTTCTTATAAGGCATCTGGTGTGCATGCTCACAGAACTAGAAAGTTTTTAAATTCAAGAAAATGTTCAATAATCTCACCTACAATGACTTAAAAAAGTTCTCATGTGAATAATGAATAATACAATTGATCAACAACAACAACAACATCAGTGGTTGGTGGGTTTTTAACTGTGGCACTCTTCTGTTATGACTAATTCATGTCATAAAAAAGCCCATTAGAAAGCACTTGATGGAGGCACTGCACAGCGTTTAATCACGCTTAATATATGCATGTGCCGCTATCAGGGCTTGGGGGGTGGGGGGGTGCAGGGGTGATGTGCAAGGGAAGGGGGGATGGCATAGAGCATCCATCTTGCTCTTGGGCACCTTTGCACAGGCAAAGAAAAGTATCCTGCTGCCACAGAGAAAAAAGAAGTGAGGAAAAAAAGGAACCCAAGTAAATTGAAGGGAGGGAGACAAGGAAGCCTGAGTGGTGGATTCATGAGTCCCTTAAGGACCAAAACAAAACCCGCATTTTAAGCTCGCCAACCTGCAGCCCAAAGACATTGCTGTTACTGTGGAGGAATTAAACAGTCGGTGTAAAGAGTACTGCATGTTTTCATTTGTCTCCTAAGAGGATTTTATGGAAGACAATGAAGAAAAAAAGTATCCTAAAATGTCCAGTTCCCTGGACCATTGTTATATGTGCTGAAGGATGCTGTAAATGAGAAAAATGCAAACCCTGTGGCTGTCAAACGTTTTAGTCATAAATGTATGTGCATTGTTGTTAATGACAGCAGTTGCAAATTAGTTTCTTATCAAAGTGTTCGTCAATACTAATGAAATGTGTTGCAATTCAACCCAAAAGCTGGAAAAATATAAAATATACATAGGGATATAGATAAATTATTTTTCCTACTAGTGAATGAAATTCCAACATTTAATTTTTTCAGAAAACATGAATATTTTACTTTTCCGATAAAAGATATTTTGTATACATATATGGGTGCTTCCTGAGGAAAGTCATGTTATTCTACACTGATCTAACTTTATCGGATCTCCTTAAGCATGAATTACTGTATCAGTGGAGTATTGCATCAGAGTGAATCATCACACAGATTCTGATCATATTAAAATCTATTCTCTGTGGGATTTAGGCAAGGGTGTAACTTTGTAATGAAAGTTGGTGGAGACACTAAGGGTGGTGGCTGATGGACCTACAGTTACTTAAAGTTTCTTTAATTTCAGCAAAATGAGCACAAAAGTATATTTATTGACTGCTTTCCTATTGTTGAGAAAACATAAAAAACGTAATACACTGATATGATATTTATATTTATAGATAGTGAGAGAGATTTTACTACATTTTATATTTATATATATATACATATATATATAAAATGCACAAAAATCTATTAAAAAATGCATATATATATATATATATATATATATATATATATATATATATATATATATATATATATATATATATATATATATATATATATATATATATATATATATATATATCGAGAATCAAGAATCCACTTTTCGTATTTCATTTTCAGAGTTTTTTAAAGTGTTTAACAGAGACGTTAGCACCTCGACGTCGGAGTACACAGAGTGAAGCGAAAAGACTACAACTGTGTAAACAGGCTCCATTTCCGTTTCCGGTGGCAGCGGAATATTGACTATTCCTACAGACCTCAATGGGATTTACAAAATGCTAAATAAAACACTACAGGAACGTTTTTTCTTTACGAAACTTTTTTTGGAACGTCATTGAACAGCGCTGACGACCCGGTGAGTAGCATATTTTAAAAAAAGAACGTTTAAGGTTGTTTTAAGGACATTATGCAAGCCATTCTAAAGCAGCCAGGGGGTGATTCTAAATGAGCCAAAAAGCAGAGACAGGACCAATTGTCAAAATTTTGGTGTCGATCATTCGATTTCATCCTGGACACTACAGAAAATGGGCTTAAAGTGTAAAAAACCGAACTTCTCCTTTAACTGAGATAAAGTTCATCAGCAAAAAGATAAAAAAGTGCTCCAATTTTTGTCTGGTCCAGTTTCTTGTGAATCTGCAGTTTTTCCTTCCACTTAACCTTCCATTATGTGTCCATTTAACCCCTTTAAGCAGCCAGCTGTTATAGAAATCACTTTTTTTTGGCCTCCACCCTTTGTTGAGAATATAATTCACTGTAAGGTAAACATCTACCATGTCAGCAGTCTTCAGCGTGTTCAGTGTAAGCTAAAAATCCCTTTCTAACTGTCTTATGTAATGCTGTTATCTGTTAAGGAACTTAATTTGGTGGTTTTATGTTTATCAAATTCATACATTCATTTTTCTGCATTTCATGTATTGCTTCTACACCTTTAAGTTTTGTGTTCTTTCCTGTTTCTCTATTATTATTTCCACTCACAAACAGAGGCAGTTGTTGCTTTCCTTTTACTATGTAGTCCATGTGTGAAGGGCATTTGAGAAGGCCACTCTGCATCCACAGGGAGAGTGTGTGTGTGTGAGCACTGAAGTGTGTTTTAGCATGTCCTTGTGTTAGCGCAGGGTGGATGCTGTTGCCAAGGGGATGCCATGGTTACGAGGTGCCAGCCAACCAGCTGACGGTTCCTCTCTAGAAGTGGCAGTGCCTTTGTCCTTCATTCGTAACGACAGGGCCGTGCAGCGATGCCTCGCAGTGCTGCTAACCGGACGAGACAACCGAAGCATTGGGACTGCAGGAAGGCTGGGAGGCCCCTGCCCATCGATCCCCTCTGCTCAGTGCGTGTTTAAGTGGAAGGAAAAAAAAAAAAAAAGAAGCAGCAAGAAGCCCCTGGATGGAGTGGATCGGCTGGAGGCCATGAATTATATATGGACCCAATCTGTTCTCAGGGCAGCTCAAGCCCCAAACTCCTGACTCAACTCGCCACGCACGCTTTGCAACACAGATAAACATCCAGACGGTGGACCAGAATAAACCCAACACACACATGCTAGCAAACTAAAAGTACAGCTTTTAACATATTAAATCCAGAGAAAAGCTACATCCCCCACCTCCCTTCAAACATCAAACAGCTCAGGATGGATGGATGAAGGAGAAGCCATTTATTTTGCCCATCTAATGAAAGCAGAGCGCTCTGCAGCGCTGCCAAGACTGCGAGCGACAAAGCGCCACAGGCAGCATCTTCCGTTCTTGACATTCAAGCGCTGCTCTTATTTATTTAGTAAATTTACTTACTAAGGAGGTCAGAAATGAATTATTTGGCAAGGATTTGCCTGGAAGCACTTTCCTCTCCTCTCCTCATTCCTCTTCCAACATTTTTTCCTCCCTTCAATTTCCTTTTTATTTATGGCTCTTTTTTTTTAACTCCTGCTTTACTAAGTGCTTATTTTTACTACAGCTTGCCTGTTCCCATAGCTCGAGGAACTTTTTTACAGAGTGTCGCCAGTAGCGTTGGGAAGTCGTTTGCGGAGCCAATTCCACCCTCTGAAGCTGCTGCCAAGAAAAAGCTTATACCTTTTAAGACTTTGTCTTTCTCTCTGTTTTCCAAAAAACATCAATTTCCAGCTGCCTAAAACCAGCTTTCTTCCACACATGCTTATAACTCTTCCTCATTAACGCCACTTACAAAAAACACAGACAGTTTGTCCAAAAGTTCAACAATAAATACACTGTAGGAATGTTGGATCAGTGGGATGCATTTCAGTAAATCAGAATATTATCAGTTAGTTTATTTCAGAATTTAGATAAAAAAAGGTAAAATTATTTCAAACAGAATATGTTTTAAGGGTTTATCAAATCCTTTTCATTTTGGATTGTAACCAATTCCTTACTTACAAAAGATTAGATGTCACAATAAACGCAAGATTTACAGTATAGAAATGTAATGTTTGGTAAAAACTTTTGGGAGG